TTCATTTCTGGACATTTATGGTTTGATTTCTTTGTATGTCTGGATCACTTGGGTTGTTACCGACATCTGGTGAAAATTTCATGTCATTAGCACCTCTAGTAATATATTTACCGAGAAAAATGTTGACGTGTTCAATACTTATTTTACCCGCTGTATAAAGTGGGATCCATAAATTGGGGTAGATGTGGTGTAGTGGTAGAGCAGCCGACTTGGGACCCGAAAGTCACAGGTTTGACTCCTCGCCATGACCACAAGTCGTGTTGTTCTTGAGCAAGACACCCAACCCCCAACTGCTCCCCGTGCGCTCACATAGCTACCTGCTGCTCCACTTAGGTATTTCTCATGTGTGATGGGTCAAAGGCAGATCACAGATTTTGTCATTGTATGGGAACATACTTTGATGACCAATACAGCACATTGGTCAGTTTAGTTCATCCTGTATTACCAAAGGCAGACTGTCCGTCTTTTTTTCTGTACATACAGTACAAACCAAAACTTTGGACACACCTTCTCATTCAAAGAGTTTTCTTTATTTTCATGACTATGAAAATTGTAGATTGACACTGAAGGCRTCAAAACTATGAATTAACACATGTGGTCTTATATACTTAAAAAAGTGTGAAACAACTGAAAATATGTCTTATATTCTAGGTTCTACAAAGTAGCCACCTTTTGCTTTGATTACTGGTTCACACACTGTTGGCATTCTCTTGATGAGCTTCAAGAGGTAGTCACCTGAAATAGTCTTCAACAGTCTTGAAGGAATTCCCAGAGATACTTAGCCCTTGTTGGCCCTTTTGCCTTCACTCTGCGGTCCAGCTCACCCCAAACCATCTCGATTGGGTTCAGGTCCGGTGACTGTGGAGGCCAGGTCATCTGGCGCAGAACCCCATCACTCTCCTTCTTGGTCAAATAGCCCTTACACAACCTGGAGTTGTGTTTGGGGTCATTGTCCTGTTGAAAAATAAATGATGGTCCAACTAAAGCAAACCGGATGTAATAGCATGCCGCTGTAAGATGCTGTAATAGACATGCTGGTTCAGTATGCCTTCAGTTTTGAATACATCCCCAACAGTGTCACCAGCAAAGCACTCTCAGACCATCACACCTCCTCCTCCATGCTTTCAAAGCACAGATTTCCACTGATTTAATGTCCATCCCTTGTTTTCTTTAGCCCAAACAAGTCTCCTCTGCTTGTTGCCTGTCCTTCGCAGTGGTTTCCTAGCAGTTATTTTACCATGAAGACCTGATTCACAGTCTCCTCTAACAGTTGTTCTAGAGGTGTGTCTGCTGCTAGAACTCTGTGTGGCATTGACCTGTTCTCTAATCTGAGCTGCTGTTAACCTGCCATTTCTGATGACCTGTTCTCTAATCTGAGCTGCTGTTAACCTGCCATTTCTGAGGCTGGTGACTCAGATGAACTTATCGTCCACAGCAGAGGTGATTCTTGTCTTCCTTTCCTGGGGTGGTCCTCATGTGAGCCAGTTTCTTTGTAGCGCTTAATGGTTTTTGCGACTGGACTTGGGGAAACTTTCAAAGTTTTCCTAATTTTTCGGACTGACTGRCCTTCATTTCTTAAAGTAATGATGGCCACTCGTTTTTCTTTACTTAGCTGCTTTTTTCTTGCCATAATACAAATTYTAACAGTCTATTCAGTAGGACTGTCAGCTGTGTACCATATCCACCTTCTGCACAACACAACTGATGGTCCMAACCCCATTTATAAGGCAATAAATCCCACTTATTAAACCCTGGCAAGGCACACCTGTGAAGTGAAAACCATTTCAGGTGACTACCTCTTGAAGCTCATCATGAGAATGCCAAGAGTGTGTGAAGCCATAATCAAAGCAAAAAGTGGCTACTTTGAAGAACCTAGAATATAAGACATATTTTCAGTTGTTTCACACTTTTTTGTTAAGTATATAATTCCGTCCGTCTGTTCGTTTTCTGCCACTTATCCGGGGTCGGGTCGTGGGGTCAGCAGCCTAAGCAGAGCGACCCAGATTTCCCTCTCCCCAGCCACTTGGGCCAGCTCGTCTGGGAGAATCCCCAGGCGTTCCCAGGCCAGCCGAGTAACATAGTCCCTCCAGCATGTCCTGGGTCTTCCTTTGGACCTCCTCCCAGTGGGACGAGTCCAGAATATCTCACCAGGGAGGCGTCCAGTAGGCATCCTAACCAGATGCCCAAAGCCACCTCAACTGGCTCCTCTCGATGTGGAGGAGCAGTGGTTCTACTCTGAGCCCCTCCTGGATGACTGAGCTTCTCACCCTATCTCTAAAGGAGAGCCCAGACACCCTGCGAATGAAACTACTTTCGGCCGCTTGTATCCGCAATCTTGTTCTTTCGGTCACTACCCAAAGTTCGTGACCATAGATGAGGGTAGGAACGTAGACCGACTCAGCTCCTGCTTCACCATGACAGACCGGTACAGCGCCCACATCACTGCAGATGCAGCACRAATCCGCCTGTTGATCTCCCACTCCATTCTTCCCTCATTCGTGAACAAGACCCTGAGATACTTATACTCCTCCACTTGGGGCAGGACCTTCTCCCGGAGATGGCACCCTGCCCTTTTCCGGCTCAAGACCATGGTCTCGGATTTGGAGGCACTGATCCTCATCCCAATTGCTTCACACTTGGCTGCGAACCGCTCCAGTGAGAGCTGGATATCATGATCTGATGAAACCAATAGGACCACATCATCCACAAAAAGCAGAGATGCAATCCTAAGGTCACCAAAACGTATCCCCTCACCACCTTGGCTGCGCCTAGAAATTCTGTCCATAAAGGTTATGAACAGAAACAGTGACAAAGGGCAACCTTGGTGGAGTCCAACTCTCACTGGAAACGAGTTCGACTTACTACCGGCATTGCAGTCCAAGCTCTGGCACTGGTTGTACAGGGACCTAACAGCTCGTATCCATTGGCCTGGTACCCGATACTCCTGGAGTACCCCCCACAGGAATTCCCGAGGGACACGGTCGAACGCCTTCTCCAAGTCCACAAAACACATGTAGACTGGTTGAGCAAACTCCCATGCACCCTCCAGGACCCTGCTGAGGGTGTAGAGCTGGTCCGCTGTTCCATGACCTGGACGAAAACCCCATGTTGTATATAATTCAACATGTGTTAATTCATAGTTTTGATGCCTTCAGTGTGAATCTACAATTTTCATAGTCATGAAAATAAAGAGAACTCTTTGAATGAGAAGGTGTGTCCAAACTTTTGGTCTGTACTGTATGTCTGCGAGAGCTGCAGCACAACAAGTCAAATTAACCAGATTTTAAAAAATGGAAAATTATACTTTAAATAACGACTTTTTGCAGCTAAGCCTATATTAACTGTGCAATATAGAGGTGCAATTTTAAAATGCAAATTCCATCACAATTTTAGATAAATATTTATTTAAAAAAGAGCATATGGTCTGTTATTTACATTGAGACAAACAGTTGTTGATGTTGACACAAAGTCAGGATTTACTATATTTCTAACAGAATTTCTGTGAAAGTGACCATAATAAAAACACAGTGTTAGAGGTTGATTTATTTATGTATTTAGTCTCCATGAGCTTTAGTGAATATTTGACTTTAAAAATGTCTGTGAGCACAGAGAATGAGAAAGAAGTAAAAAAACATGCAGAGTTGCAAGTGTTGAGCGTACATAAAATCTGCTGATGATGCTCCACATCAGTAAAAGGTTGCAGGTTCAAAACTGAGCTGCAACCTTTCTGTGTGGAGTTTGCTTCCATTGTTTAATATTATTCAGGCTTAGAAAAGTTTGTTTGAGGTGAGGGTTGATTATTTAGCTGCACTGATGCACTGATTTGTTACTATCTTCTGCTCATGAACCTTTGGATTCTCTATGTGTCTCCAGAATGTGATTGCAGAGGAGGTCACTGTGACCCCCGAACAGGAGACTGTCGCTGTCCTGATGGGATGACAGGAAAACAGTGTGACATCTGCACTCAACAACACACTGTTCCTGTGGAGACCAAGCATGGTGTGCACTGTGAAAGTAAGGAGAGACACGCACGCACGCACGCACGCACGCACGCTAGGGATGGGCGATATTGGCAATAAAATTAATCACGATTAATTGGGGTATTTAGCCGATAACGATTAATTTGACGATTAATCCCCTGGAGTCCCTGGACACCCTTATGGCCTAGTCACATGACCAATTTAGTGGGAAAGATTTGCTCTTCATAAAAATCTTTTTCAAACTGTCAAAATCACAGACTTCAGGCTACACCTCAAATTTTAGATTGTGTTGATAAATAAATTACAGAACTTTTATTTAAATGTTGGTCATATTTGAAGCGGAGAGGAGCACCGAGCGGACTGACCGAGGAGATCTCCAGTCAGTCTGCCTGGTGGCATTAATCATATTAATCGTCAAGTGCCAAAAAATAATTGATTAATGTTTTTCTGACGATTAATTGCAGACGATACGATTATGCCCAACCCTAACGCACGCACGCACGCACGCACGCACGCACGCACGCACG